AGCTCCTGCAACAAGGCCAAGCTCAGCTTGGTCAGACCGTCTGCCCTCATGAGGTGCGTGGGAACCCAGTGCAGATGGTTAGGAGACAGAACCTCCTGAACCGCCCTCACATTAACTAGGCTACGCTTGTCAGCAAGGTTAGGGTTCTCAGAGATGAGGACGTCGTACAGGGACTTCGCATCGGTGGCGTGAAGGTGCTGGAAGAGCGGCTCGGTGCGGTGGGCCGGCTTGCCCGTGAGAACCTCCGAAAGGAACAGGTTGAGGTAGTAAGTCCGGTCGACCGCCTCGTCAGCTGCCATCGCCTCTGCGGCGAGTGTGCTTCTCGCCACCCTCTGTGACTTCCCCGACTTCCAGTCCAGGAGTAGTCCCATGCAAGGGACTTGAGAAACCTGAGGGGTTGTAGCGAAGATCAGCACTCCAAACTGTGAGCGAAGCTTTGGGGCGTTGGCCCAGCTTGCATCGGCAAACGACAGAAAGGTAGTTGCCGAAGAAAGGGGCACGTCAGGTAGAAGAAGCCCGCAGTCTGAAGTCTCTTTGGCGTACTCGAGGGCTGTGTAGAGGTTCTTCAGGTCACCGAAGGTTGTCTCGCCACCACGGTTGCTCAGGGAGACGTAGGGGGAGAGCTCAGGTCTTGTCTGGCCACAGAGCCACTGTAAGCAGCCCGCCACTGAGCGGAACTCCTCCTTATGTTGGCCGTCGAGCTTGTCCTGCAGCTCCACGCCGCGCTTCAGCTTGCCTGCCTCCAAGCCACTCAAGAAGGCCTTTTGCGTAATCTTGAGTTGGAAGCGGTTCGGCTGGCCAGGTTTGGGAAGCAGAAGCAGCTCTTTCCCCTTGAAGGTAACAGGCTTGTTGACCTCGAGGAACTCGAAGCTTCCCCACTCAAAAGCCGCCTTGACCTCTTGGAAGCTGTAGTCCGAACGGAACGTTCCAAGGAAGTCGTCCACGTAGACTAGGATAATGCTGATGACCTTGCCACTGGAGGAACGCTTGATGAAAATCATCTTGTCGAAGCTGTGCTGAACGTAGTCAAGTTGACGAAGACGAGATATGACTTCAAGCGCCCAAACTCGTGGAGCGTCAGCTAGTCCATAGATATTGGAGCAGACGCGGTAGAGTGGAGCCTTCCAATGTGGTGTCTGATTGATCAAGCCATCTGAAGGTGGGCGAAGGAACAAGGGAAGCGTTCGCCCTTGATGCTTGCCCTGTAGGAACGCCGTGCTGGCGTCGCCGGACCAAGTCTGCCTAGTGAGCCCACTGTCTTCGATCTCCGCGTTGGCACCAGCAACGATCATGTAGTAGATGATGTGCTCGGAAACCCTATTGGGCGTTGGTGCTTGACGGTTGAGGGAGAACAAGTCAGGATCACGGTGTCCGAGGCAGACTATCCGACACTTGGCACGAACTTCTCCTTGTCCACGAGCCTTGTCTCTATAGCAGGCTCTCGTGCGCAGTATGCGCTTGGTCAAGATCTTGTCATTCAAGACTTGCTTGGCCTCTTCATGGGACAAGGGTTCGACAGATTTCCAGTCAAGCCAAGAATTGGCTTCCTTGTCGATCGCTCGGAGGTAGGCCGGAACATCAGGTCCACGAAGGATTTGAGTCCAAGGCACCTCGCGATCAAGTTGTTTGAGTTCTTTTCTGGAGAGCTGTCGGGGCCCAGTCGCCGTAGCTGGTGAGGGCCTCTCGTGATCTGTGTCACTGGTGTCAGACTCGCCAGGTGGCTTGCTCAAAGGGACGTCGTCCTTGCGGTAGTCACTGGCGAGGTAAGCCTGGTAGAAGGTCTCGCACTTGGGCCCGTAGACTCCCGTGCGGTAGTCGTCGCCAGGTGTCACACGTACCAGGTCACCGTCGTCGTAAAGGAACGTAGTCAGCGAGTCGAAAGGTCGCTTGGCTGGAAGCTGAGGTAGTGGTTCAGGTGGTGCCAACGGAGGAGCTGTACTCAAAGAAGGTTGCGAAGCCACCTCCGAGCTGGGTACCTCCTCAGTTGGGCTACGTACTGAAACTGCAGAAGATCCAGGTGGTTGTACTTGAGGTTCGGCTAGAACTTCAGGGGTTAGAGCGGCAGCCGTCACGGATGCCTGACCTGTAGGTGCTGGAGTCTCCTCGTCAAAGTCCACGGGTGGTTGTGCTTGAGGTTCGGGTAGAACTTGCAAGGGTTGGAGAGGCGCGAACTCCTCGGCTTCGATGGTCGTGATGCCTTCGACAGGTAACTCACCGGCCTCAACGATAGGGTCCTCAAAGATCGCACTATCGTAAGCTGCGCTCTCGTACTGGGCACTGTCTCAGGACAGCGGGTCGCGAAACTCGTAGCGGTCCGTCACTCCACCATGCCAATGGACCAGTGAGCCTCAGCCGGACAGTAGTCCACGTGCACGTTCACGGTGGCAAGGCGGTCGTCGAACTCGCCCTGGAACAAGGGGTCCGGATCGAGTAGCAACCTCGTTGGAAGTGCGTAAGGTCTGAGCCAGACACGCTCAAGGAGGTCGTAGGTTTGCTTGGCGCCTTTCGTCCTGAGAATCGCGGCCTGGTGGAAGCCCGTCGCGGTGTCCGCCAGTCCGAGAACCTGAACCGCGTCGCCGGCGCACAACCTCACGTAGAAGAAGTCACCCTGAATGAGCTCATTGAATTGTGACGCCGTCGTTGAGATGGTGCCTGCGGACGCTGGCTTTGGTTGTTGAGGACCCTTCAATCTCTCACATGTTGCGCAGCGAAGGTGCCTGACGCATTCGAGAACTGAAGAGTTGGGAACTCCACGATGTAGAAGAAGCCGACATAGTTCCTGAGAAGAAGGATGTCCAAGGTTGGCATGTAGGCGCGCCACTGACCTCCTGATCTCGGGAGGCACCTGAGCACCAAGGTTGGGAAAGCTGATGTCGGTTGGGAGTCCCGAGACCGGCACAGAAGGATCATCAGCGTCTCCGCCGCGTGGATGAGAAGGTGCATCTAAGGAGTCGCCATAGATGAACACAGCGTACTTGACCGCCTGCTCGAAGCGCCGCTTGGGCTGCCTGACCTCCTCCAGCTGCTCCACCTCTATGGTGCGCTTGCCGTCTATGTACTCCAGGGCCACGCCTCGTGCACTGTGCGGTTGGTCCATCAAGAACCGACGCTGAATCGGTGTTGGCGCTGCCTGGATTTTGACTGCCCGCATCCTGAAGAGGTCCTGGATTTCCTTGCCAAGCGAGCCGTTGATGTCCACGTCGTAGGCGCGCTTGGTACCTGACGAGAAGTCTCGGTTGAGCTGCTCGAAGACGCCGTCCCAGGCCTTGACATCCGCGATGGGGGTTGCAAGGGCATACACTTGGAAGTTGCCAAACCTGAGGGGCTCCTTCTCAGCAACAAAGTCGTGCAGGTGGCGAAGGATCTCGTAGACGAACGCGCGCGGGTAGACCTGTGAGCGCTTGGTCTCGGAACCTTGGATGGGCGTGCAGTACTGAAGGTCGGGAGCCGAGAGCTTGCGAGAGAGCCGATGGCATAGTCCAGGAAGATTTGAAAGGAGATTAATGGACTTGACCACGGGCTCCCCTTCCACGGTCTCTGCGCCATATGCTCCAAGGTGTGCACTTGCCATGCTGGTACCGGACAACTCAGCAACTCCAACGAACTCGGTCTGAGACCACAGCCGTGACCTTTGGGGATTCTCAATGAGGAAACACCTGCCAGCATCGGCCTGGTCCTGACAAAGCTCAGCGACGAACTTGCGGCGCGGTTGATCCAAGTCACGGATGCGCTCAAGCTCGGGTAGTCGATGAGAGTAGTTGAGGTTCTCGTTGAAGAGGCAGTAGTGAGTGCAGGGGTAGCCGATCAAAATCAACCAAGGTCGGGCCCGCCTCACCATTGCACGGATGTAGTCTTGCACCTCCTTTTTATCAAGGTCCCAGCCGTAGGCAAGGTCAATGGGTTGGCATGCGTGGAGCCCGTGGCGGTGTGCCGCTGACGAAGGTCTGGCTTCACCTGCGAACAGCTCAAGCAAGACAAGGCTGTGGGCAGTGCATGGTAGACATCGACCTCCTTCTCCAGGATTCGGGCAGACTGCCCGATGTTGCCAAGCAGCCGCCTGGCACCCTTCAACTTCCCCAGTCTAGCAGGTCCCACGCCTGGATGTCGTCCTCCTGCGTGGCTCTCACTCTCGATCTGCGTCCCGATGGTGCCGTCGTCGTAGTCGTCGAGGCGGTACTCCGGGAAGGTCGCGCCGCCGAAGAGGGTCTCGTCTTGGGAGTGGCCGCCCGCAGCGAACTCTTCGAAGTTGGTGGCGCCGCTGGCGCCGTATTGTCCGAGGAGGGCAACGGCAGTGCCGATGAGCGCGAAGATGCGTTGCAAGGGTGAAGCACCCATTTTTGATCGTCTGCCCTCCACTTCCATCTTGTCTGGCACTTGCGGCACCTTGCGAACCTGCCTGTGGCGTTGCCGTAGCGGTAGATGTCGTTGTGGTCGCAGTGGTCCGGGTTGGTCTCGAAGGCCAGGTCCAGCTGAGGAGGAGTTGCGATGATCATCCATTCCCAGTCCCACACGCGGAGACGAACTGCTCGGCACATCGTGCGGTAGAGGCCCTGCTTGAAGCGGATCAGCGATATCATGATGAACCTCCACCGTTGCAGCCATTGCGGGGGTGTGGCATGCATCTCCTTCAGGCAGGGAATCAAGCTGCTCAATCAGAAGCTCGGGAGCCGGTCGCTGCCAATCAACAACATGCTCAAGCTCGCTGAGGCGTGCTGCCGTCTGGGAATCCAAGCAAGCAATGTTGACTGCAAGGTGACCTCCTAGATTAAGAACAGGAACATGTGCCGACAACCGTTCAAAGTGCACAACCATGCGGTTCAGATCTAGTACCACGCCAAGCGCCTTGAGGAATGGATTGCTGGCCAGCAGTGGCACTTCGGCATCGAGAACGCCTGCACCCACGTAGAAGACATTGCCATTCTCAAGTGCAGCGGGCATGTACATGCGACAATCGGCCACAATCGGGTCACCCTTGCCAAACTGAAAAGTGTCCCTACGCTCTGCCTTGATGGGCTGAAGGCCGGACTCCGCGATGAGCTTGCCGTGGTTGTAGGCCCAGGTCCTTCCGCAACAGGTTCGTTGACACGCCGTGTCCAAAACCATATACCCAACAAAACTCTGACTGAAGGGGACCTCCTGGGTATTGAACACCACGTTGATCTGGTAGGCATCGGGGTCCTCGAAGGCGGTGCCATAGCCTGAGTGAAGCTCATAGCTGCCCAGGTCGCTATGCATAACGGTGAAAGTCTGATGGGGCTTGCTCTTGGGCGCAGGCATCTCCTTGAAGTGGGTCTTGCGTGCAGAAGCTGAGGGCTGTGATGATGAAGTCGCCGAAGAAGCACCTTTCCCAGAAACTTTACAAACATCATCGCCCCGCCAGTGCCCAACTTCCCCGCAAGCAGCACATGTAGTGGTCTTTTTAAGCTCAGCAGGTGAAGTCTTGTTCCCTGAGTACTTGCGTCCCAACTTGACAGAGGCAAGGCGTCGGGCAGTGACAGTCAAGACCTGGATCAAGTCGTCTTGCTCGTCATGGTTCTGCTCGTCTTGGTCGGGCTGCTCCTCGGCCTGCTCGACAGAAGTGGCCTCATCATCCTGGATGGTGTTCTCCGCGTGCTCGGCGGCCTCTGCAACGAAAACCTTCCGAGGTCCGAACTTGCCGCCGCCCTTGCCGCCCTGATGTCCGGAGGCTCCCTGCCGTGGTGAAGCACGGTCATTGGACTTGCCGGCTCCCTTTGGCCTGGTGATCAACTGGCCATCCTTGCTCATCACTGGCGGTGCTGGCTTGAAGTCGGGGAACTGCATGACCAAGGACTCGGAGATGTCTTCGAAAACCAAGGAGTATCGAGCACCCACTAAGACAAGTCTTTGATCCTGAGGACTCAGCCGAGCTCTATCCAGGAGTCTGCTCCCTCTGGCGTCGCCATCATACATGGCAGTCACATTGATGTCCACGGCCTGCAAATTGCGTTCGGTCCTCCGATATCTGTTGACATAGGCGCGCAGGTGCTCACCCGGAAACCTATTGATGTTCTCGAAGTCCGATAAGAATCTGCGCTTCTGATAAACGAGGCGCTGGGACATGGGGCCACGCAACTGCTCAAGGATATAGTTGATTCCTTGGGAGCTATTTATTCTCTCAAGAGGTGCGTGTTCCAACTCCTGCTCTGGTTCACCGCTGAGTGCGTTGTACAACTGCAAGCTTGCCTCCCTCTTACTCATATACGGCTCCACCTGGATTTCCCACAACCTGACCTTCCGCTCGTACTTCGCAAAAGCACGCAGATCCTCCTTCTCATAGGACCATTTTGGTGGTGCAGGCGGCGCTCCACCACGCCACTTGACACCACGTTCTGGCCCCATCCGGCTGTTCCATGAAGGAGTTGTCGAGCCCGTGCTCCGCTTCTTCCTGTCTGTCGCCAGGCTTTGGTCCAAGAAGCCATGTTGCCCGGCAGGTAGTCCATGATCGGCTCCTTCAAGGTCACCAGGAGGTACTTCTGGAACAGCTGGTCGAGCAGGTTCGGGAGGATCAAGGCCAGGAGGTCGAGGATCAGGTAGGGGCCCTCGAGGACGGGAACTCACAGTGACAGTGCTGTCGTGCGTCAGGGTTTCAGACTCTGCCTGCTCGCTCCAGCCTCCATCGGGGTCTGGTCTGTTTCCGTGTCGGCGTCGCCTTCGGCGACGGGATGCGCTTGCAGCGCCCAGCGCCTGCTCCGGTGAAGGGCGCAGTCGAAGGTTGTCCAGAGGTAGCCATCGGTTCAGCGTCCTCGGAAGCACGAGTCCAGGGCGGAAGTGGTTCCTGTCCCTGAGGGAAGTACATCCATGTTCCATGCCCAGTGCGCCTCCAAGTCTGCTCACTCACTCTATAATAGTCCCGGCTTCCGCATCCCGAACACACCCAATCACCAGAAGTCAGCCTCTGAAGGTCGGGGCCATCGCACAAGGCGCAGCGCCAGACAACCGCAGCACGTCTCGAGGAGTTACGCGCAGCATCTTCTTCGCCATGCCCTGGGATCGCACTCGGGGTCTGTGACGCCATCTCTGCTCCAAGCCAGTCATCTGCCTCATTGCCAGCGGCCTGCTCGGTCTCGCTGGCCATGTGAAAGATCTGCGGAACCAGGGGCATCACAAGACTCCTTCCAGCAGGCTCCGGTGCCAACTTATGCAAACACTCGCGATGCTCAAAAGCGTGAATGCACAGCGGAAAGAATCAGCAG